TGTGAACACACTCCTATACACACTCCAGAGAGTAATGGCATGTGAACACACTCCTATACACACTCCAGAGAGTAATGGCATGTGAACACACTCCTGTACACACTCCAGAGAGTAACAAGATTACTCATGCTGCTGCATGAGTTCCTTTCACGTCACTGTTTCCCACCTTTTCATCTGGGTTAGTGACTGGGTTAGTTAGACTGTCCTGGGACTTCTATCAGGTTTACACGTTCTCTTTCCATATATATTATCTTATTAAATTACTCTATTTATAAAAAGCCTGAGGCAAAAGTGAAATCCATAGCTCCCAGGATATAGAACCATAGTAGAGCACCTCCTGGTCACACTCAGGGCTCCACCAAGACCACTCTCCTTAGAGACAACATGACTCTGAGTAATATGCACCTCACAGTGTTTGGACCCATGTTCTCTTTCTTCTGAGCACATCACATGCTCCTGAAGGACAGGGATTGTTTCTCCAGCTCCCTTGCGTTCAACATCATGAAGCTTCTCATGCCACACTGCAGCAGGTGAGCCCTCCCAGAAAGTAGAAGACAGAAACTGGCCCATAGTAGACCTGGGCCAATTCAAACTCAGGCAAGGTTCCTGGGAGTCAGGAAGACTGCCCTTCCCTGACAACTCAGAACAGGAAGTGACAGCAGAGTCAGGGGCATTGTGACAGTGCTGCTTGCCAGTTCCCTTTCCCTGGTCTGATAGGGTAGTGCTCCCAAAGCCTTTGGTTGTCTTCCTCCAGGATTCCTGCCTAGTTAGATATAGGCCTTCTGTCCTTTTTTTTTTTCCCCAGAGAACTAATTTGGAAAAGCATACAAAAACCATAACTTAATATTACACTTCACCACCTGCTACAAAGCTTAGATGGGTTTGCTAAGGGCATGGAGGCTATGAGACAAACACGCTGTAAGTGTGTGTGTGAGCTCCAATAAGCAAGCAGTTAGTGATTGTGGTGATTGTGGCTCAATTTATTTCAACGTGAGACATTATTGTCAACCTTCTTCCTCAAAAATATACAAAAGAAGGCTCATCGCGTTCTCCCTGATCATCTCCTTCTATAAGCACTCTTTAGAAAATACATATTCACAATACTCAGCAAAAGCTAACTTTACAGGTTCTCACCTGACTACTACTGTTATCATGCTTTGGCAAAGCAGATTATTGTTTCTTTTTCTCCCTGCCCAGCCCCCATCTCCCTTTCTTTCTAGACGGGTCTCACCATACAGCCTAGGCCGTTCTAAAACGTGTTCACAATCCTCCTGCCTCAGCCTCCTAAGTTCTGGAATCATGATATATGCCAACATACTGGACCAAAAGGTTTTGTATTCTTGAAGTGCTGGATTCCACCCCCTGAGCCACACCCTCATTTTTCAAATATTGACACAGTAGATGTTTTACACAAACACTTAACCATCTGCCTTGGACGCTCACTCCCCAGCAATAAATATCTACATTTACCAGACTCTGAAAATGAGAAAATGAAGAGTAATTCTAACAATGTAAAAGAATTCTAGTCATGTGCCAGTGTTCAGCTTTGCATATGAATTACAAGGCCAGTACCTCTTTGACTTGTTCAGCTTGGCTAAGGTGGCTCTCAGGGTCTGGCTGCCGGGTGCCCAGTGAATCTGACAGAGCCTGCAGGGCTTGATCACTCATGACATCCTGTTAAAAGGGAAAAAGTCTGTGCATAAAAACAAAACAAAAAAACTCTTCAGAGTTTAGAGCTTAGATAATCCATATAATCAATTTTCTTATTTGTGAAATATATATTTTAAATACAAAAGGTGAATTGTGGATTGGAAAATTACTATATGAAGGAAAATTAAAACAGGAAGAAAAAAGGACTTACCTATCAATGAAAACTTGGTCTAAAACACCAGATCTCTTATTATAGCAACAGCTATAGGGCACACTTCAACACTTATTTTGCAAGTAAGATATATGATTATAATAGAAATGAAATTACAAAAGACTCTTATCAAAAAGTTGCCAGCAAGTAAACTTGAATGACCCTGTTTTTCTTGTAAAATGTCTTCTGAAAGTCTGGCTCTTCAGCAAAACAGACAAGCTCAAGCAAGTGAGAAAGCTGAAGTGACCTCTGAAGATACAATTTCAGGGCTATGAGAACTTCCACTGTCAGGGTGTGGTGCTCCCCACAGCTCTCTCAGCCATTGAGATAAAAATAAACTATTCCCTCCAGCAGGGCAGAAGCAGGGGCAGCCCTGATAGAAGTGGTCCTTAGCATTATCAGCACCATTCACACAGGGCGCACCTGCCCACATCTAGCCTGGAGCTGCAGGATCAACTTTGAAGACAGAATCAGCTTGTTGCTGAGGCAGCAGAAACAGCTGTGCTGGCATTCCTATAATGATCCACAAAGCTCCCTTTAGGAACTCAAGCCTAAGATTTCATATTTCAAGAGCAGTTACAACATAAGATGGTCTTGTATGACAACAGTAAAGACTGTGCTTTAAAATCATTCATAAATAAGCAAAAATCAGGTAAGGAACTGTTGTCATATAGGCCCTTGGCTATTCCTTAAATAAATAGTAAAATTTGTTTACTTCCTTAAAGTAAATACCTCTTCCACCTTCCTTTTTTTCTCCTGGGGAGGAACAGAACTTCTGGTCACTCCAGCAGCCTGAGCTTTGAAAACGTCCCCTGTTGATTTCTGAAAAAGAAAATTCAAAAGATTTTTACAGGTGATGGAAATTCAATTGTGATAAACAGAACTAAAACATTATTTTTATACCCAAGATACTTTCTAGCAAAGTTCTCTTTAATGGGACTAAAAACAATACCTCTTTCTTAGTTTGCTTTCCAGGCGGAGAACTACAGGTGAAGTCAGATGACAAGGCGTCTATAGCATCATCAGGTCCCATGGGTTTCTAGAGAAAAGAGCACAGAGTAACTCCTAAGAGCCAAACTAGAGATTAGGAGTCCAGAAAAGAAATAATCTTTGCATTCTTTAGATATCAAATGAGAAATGCTAATGAAATAACTCAGAAGGAAGCCTTGTTTGGAAGGCAGTGGGTGTACCTCCTCCTTTTCCCTCCTTCTAATGTAGTTACATGTGGTTACATGTGCTCATACTACTAATAATTATTAGCATTTACTATATCTTTCTATCTTCTTGACCCCATCATCTCCACCTCCATACATATACATATATATAGACAAGGAACAGTGAAACAGCCCCATGCCCACTGTCTTTCTAGGAACAGAAAGAAACATCTGAATGAGAGATTAACATGGATCACCTTCAGATACAGAATTGATAGGGCTTTTTCATTGTGAAGCCAGGCCCTCGTGCACACAATGCAAGTACTCTGCCACTGAGCTATAATTCCATTTTACTTTTAATTTTGAGACAGTATAATTTACCCAGGCTGGCCATGAGCTCAGCCTCCTGAGTGACTGGGATTATAGGTGGGGTTGTTCTATGCGCCCCCCCAAAGAAAGATACACCACGGTGACATAGACCTTAGAAGACATGTACACAAACTCACAGAATCTGAAGGAGGTCCTGTGATCCCTTCCTTTTTCTGAAACAAAAATGAAAGAAGTTGAGAAGTCAAAATTAATTCTTTTGATTGATAAAAATGTATTCTCAGTCTATGATGAACTAAACTGTGTGCTCTCCCACTCATATGATGAAGTTCCGAAGAACCCCAGAATAGTACCTTATGTGGATATAGGATCTCTCTATAAGAAATCCAGTGAAGCTAGGTCATTAGTGGGAATCCTTATCAAGTGATAATGTCCTTATGAAGAGAACAAATAGGGACCCAGAAAAACACAGAGGGAAAGTAATGTGAAAGGACTCATGGAGAAGACAGCTATCTATAAGCCTAGCAAGCAGGCCTAGAAGAGAGCTACCTCTTAGAGTTCTTAGAAGGAGCCAGCTGTTCCCAGACCCTAAGTGTGACTTCCAGCCTCTAGAAATAACAGAGAAATCTCTTGGTTAAGCTATCCAGTCTGTGGTACCTTGTCAGGTTCCAAAAGGTTAACACACAAAGGGTACTTTTCAATAATAACAACTGTATATGCCCCATTCAATTTTCTAAATTTTGATATTGATATGAAATTATCTTCCAAGAAATAAATGGTGAAATAAAAGTGGAAGATAACTTACAGCCAGAAGTTCCCTGTACTCTGGAGGAATAGTCCCTTCTTTTATACCTAGTGCCTCAATGTAGGTAGAATCCATTGGGTCCTGGAATTAAATCACACATAAAGACATATTATGCAATTAATATGCTGAGAATGATATATGAAACCAAAGTACTATTCTAGTACTAATTTTCTGTAACTATTGAGATGAAAATAAATCATTAAGAAGCTAAAACTGAACATAACCCTTAAGTTCTAATGGTATGCTAACAATTATTTAATTAGCTTGATAGAAAGAATCCTGCACTTTAAGTTTATCATTTCCATCATTTTCTATTGAATTGTCTTTTTCTCTGTGTTTTTTATTCTTTATAAACTTTAGAAGTAAATATTGTGTTACTTTTGAAAAAATGGTTTATTTCTAATACCATGATACATGTAATTTTTTATCACCTTTTAAAAACTAAACTGGAGCATATTTTAAAAATATTCTGCATGTAGGAATTCATAAACATTATACATCATAACTTTGCATGTTTTCAAATATAAATATAAATAGTATCATTTTGTTGCTCTGGTTTATTTTACCCAAAATTATGGCTTTATATTATATAAATGCATGATGAGGCCATTTTCCCTTTAGAAAAAGGAAGCACTGAGTAGCTTCCTATATTCTGTTAACCACATTGTTTCCAAATGTTCTGCCAGTTATCCTTCTCTGTACACACTAGTAACGCTTCCAGGCTTTCTCTCTGGAAGGGATCTATAACTGAAAGGGACACTTATCTTTAGAACCTAGCTGAGTTGTCAAACTTTTAAACTTCTGGTAGTCTGGTCACAAAAGTGGCACCACACCATGTGGCTTTATGTCATTTTCCTAATTCCTTGGTAGACCTTCATGCTATTTGTTCATTGTCCAAACAACTTTCTCTTAATTCTCTACTCAGTTGTCTTTTTCTCTGTTTATTGTAAACTTTAGAAACAAATATTTAATGGTATCTATTGACAATGTTTTCATCTAGTCTATATTTTTAATATCAGAAAACAAAAATTACATTACTTTTTAGAAATTAAGAATAGATTAACTTAAGATCATAAGGATATAAAACTCAAAATAAGTTCAAGTCCACTGCATCACATCTAAAGGACAAAAAAACAAGACTTTCTGGCCTACTCAGTTGTTTCAGTGAGTGCTTTAGCATCATCAGATATTTTCTGAACCAATGCAATTGTGTAGCTGTCACAAGGCAGACTATTTCCACCCTCACCACTAAGTTTTGGTTTCTAATATCAGTGCTGATACCATCCTGCTTCTACATAATCAACAGAACATGAGATTGCCTCCTGTGCTTAACAGTCATGGATTTACTTGCTTTCCTATTCATTGAGGATGAATTCTTACTGGTTTCCAATCACATACCAAAACTATTGGTCCAGTGTATCGTGGATCATCTTTGTTAGTTTCTTCAGGTTTCCCTAAAGTGTCTATCAGGTCATCTAAAGCAACATCTATGCCTGACTGGAAATGAAAGAGAAAGATATGTAAATGTTATTTGGTAGATATATTATCCTTGATTTTTAACTACAAAACATGTACCAAATACTGTAATTTTTCCAAGCACAAAAATAATTAAAATTCAGTCCACTTTTATTATGAAGATGCAGAGTCTAGATTCCGAGTTGGAAAGATAAAAAGGCACATTAAGGAAAGAATAACCATTTCAAAACTTACCAAGTCATTAACTACAGCAACAAATTTATTAGTTCACAATGGCTACCAAGCCATTAAAATGGGAAAAGAAAAAATGCAAGGATTAGCTATGTGGCACTTGTTGCTTTTCAGTCCCCCAACTTCCAAGTTTCATACTACAAAATCTGTAGATAGCTCCTCTTCCAAATAAAATCTATTTTTAAAAATGAATTTTCCTGTATTTTTCCCTTTCTTTATGAGCATTGTTGTTGATCACTTGCTTGCCCAAACATAGCTCTGAAGAGAAATCATGTGAGATCAAATGGTAAAGACACATGAACTGACAGTTTAGTCTGTCAACATGAACTCAATATATTAATGAGAGGCTTCTGCCACCTTGTTTTGTAGTTATGGATGACTCAATATGAACAGGCACCTGAAAATGGAAAGACCCTCACTACGGACCTCAAATCTAAAAGTATCACTGAAGATGACCACATTCTCATGATGGTTTTAGAACTCATCATTATTGATATATGTAATAGAAATTAGGGCCTATTAGCTTTAGACTATTTTTCCTTTTTAAATTATTGTTGTGGTTTCTTGGGGGAAATGGGATAGATTTCAAAGAAGTACCTTATATTCTTTACCAATAGAGAGGTAATACAGAATACTTAAGACAACCCCCAAGATATTCTCACTCTAAAACCAAGAGACAGAAAGAGTCACTTTCCAAGTCTCAATATACATGTTGCTAAAGAACACATATTTATAGACTAGAAACTGTTAATAAGCTCTGTGTCCTGGAACTAGAGTTTCAAAACAGAGGCTTATACCAAGAATTGGCATAAACAGTGTGAAGGCTGCACTTTCAACTCAGTCATAATTTCTTTAAACTCTAAGTCATTAAATTTTTCCTTTAAAACCACAAGAAATCAGGCTGAGACAAGCAGCAGAGGACAAACATGTGATGATGAACTGGCATGTGATTTCCATACCTTGCCAGATGGCTTGCTTAGTTTGGACTCCACTGGTGAAGTGGGCGTTAATGACTTCTTTTCTTTTTTCTAGTGGGGATTTAGAAGGACTTTAAAAACTTTCATATACCTTTATGAAACAGCACTATGATACAATGAAGACGAATTCAAATATAATAGCCTAGGTCATGTACTAGTCCCCTGATCTGCTCTGGATAGTAATGTTACATGTGTAGAACTATCACAAACATTAAGCCTATTTAATGATGAGAGAGAGAGGCTTGGAGAAATCAGGTTCATGGACGAAATTGGATGTATCTGATTTGTGATAGACTAATTTAAGCACATGACAAGTCTAAGGAAAGACAGATAGAAAGGCGATTAGAATATTGTTTGGTATATGAAAGAGACGGAGGTGGAAGAGTAGGGAGAAGAAAGGAAGAGAAGCGAGGCAGAGGAGGATAGGGAGGGAAAGATTGAGAAAGGGAAAAAAAGAAGGAAGGTGAAGGAGATGAAGCAACATTCCCTGGGTTGCAGAGCAAGAACAAAGCCATGGTCTGTACCAGGACTGCCTGGCCCTTTGTTCACCATACTTGTCCTGGGCCTTGCAACCCTATTAGTTCTTTCTGAAGCTGCTACTTGCAGCTACTGTTCCCTGGGTCTTTACTTCCACTCATCAGGACCACTGTGTCTCTTGCCTTAGTATATCATTGTTCTTTTCTTAATTTTCCTCTCTCACCATTAATTATTGTGATTCCTCTCAAAGACATCTAGTAACTTTCTTACAACCTTCCTGCCTCTGTCCAGACAGTATCTCTGAGGAACATCACTGTGTCAGCTCTCACGTCTCACACCTGCCACAGAAAAGGAACATTCTGATTCTGTGTTTGTGCTCTTGCCCTGTCACCTTGGGCATCTCTTCTGCTTTGTTTCCAATAGCATATATTCTGTATGTTCACGGCTTAGTATGGTGATCTATGCCAAATTTTCTAGGACCAGGGACTAAGCTCTTGGCAGGAGCTTATTAAATTGGTGAGGCTATTTTATTAATTTATGGTCATCCAGAGCCATGTATCATTTGAAAGCATCATATTTAGTAAGCAGATTCCAGGCTGCCTGCATTTGTACACCAGCAATGACATGCATGGCTGTTTGAGACTTCCCAGTCACTTCCCCTGTCCCTGGGTTTCATAGTGATGCGAGGACAATGATGCTACCTAACTAGGGGTTGTGAGGATTGTTAATGATACTTGAAAAGCACAATGTAAGTACTTGCTATAAAATTAAATATTAAATAATCAACTGTTATGCTTTTAGTGTTGAAAAAAAGGTAGAAGTCAGAACCCCCTTCCGGGAGTCAGTTACCACCTTGTGTAGCCACACTCACACACCTTCCTCTTCCTTCTTCCTGTCTCAATCTTTTCCTTTCTCTCTATCTCCATTATCTCCCTCCCCTCCTCTTTCTCCCTCTTCCATTCTACTTCTCTTCTTCTGTGTACCGAACAATACTTTAATTACTTTGTTACATATCTTTCCTTAGGCCTGTCATATACATATTCAATCCAGTCCATCTTGAACTAGGCACCCTTTCCCCACATGAATTCTACGAGCTTCTATTGATTTTTGAAAGGTAACCAGGGGACAGCGCTACAAGGTCCCCCACTCCACTCATCCCACTCATAAGGAGGCACTTGCTCTCTGTGTTGACTGTGCTTGGACCACATAGTGAGAACTTCCAAAAGTCTTGTGTTATAGCACCTGTCTTATCTTACTTCAGTGTTATCAGCCTACTCATGCCAGACTCTGAAGCCCCAAAACATTTTACTTTACCTCTGCCTCTTTGGCCAACTCCCTCCTGAATCTGAAGGTTTCACCTCTGTAATAACTTTAACTAGCTCCCCCTTCTGTTCTACTCTAAGCTCCACTATATAATTACTCACCAGCACCACTGAGACAGGCCCCAAGCAACCTTCCCCTCCCTGTCACTACCCACAAGCTCCACAGCATTCTCTCCAGCAGCCTTAACCTGTCTTTCTGGTCTTACTGCCGCCTCTGAACTCTTTGCTTTATGACACTGGAATGTGCTTGCACCCAGAACTGAAAATTTTCAGCACTTTGAAGTCTTTGCAAGCCTGGAATCCTGGCTGTCCTTCCATGCCTACCACAAAGGTCTATACCGTCTCAAAGTCCTGTGGATCCCCCAAGTCAGATGAAATCCACTCTTTTCTCACAAAGTGTCTCTCTATAGGAGTCTCTCTTATTCTGTCCTGAGTTAAAGTTCCACCTACTTCGACACTAGATGGGGTAGCCTGTAACTAGCACGTTCTAAGGTCAATTATAAAATGCCACATACTAAAATAAGACAGCTCTAATTAACCCTACTGAGTTGAGGAATCAGTAGTAAAGTCAAATAAAATAACTTATGGAAAGGACCAGAATCAAGCCAATGCATAACAGAATTCCATTCAAACTTAGTAGGATCATTTAGCTTTTACTGATAACTTGGGCTGGTTTATACCTAGAATAAAACCTCAAATTTTGAATACATTTAAAAGAATTTGTTGTAACATATCTAGTCTTTAACCTTAAATCTACTCATTTGCAAATTAGATCATTTAAGTACACCCACAGTAACAAGACTATTTCAGGGGATAGTGGGGTCCTGAGGGAATATACAAATAATTTATTGCAAAAACCCATATGTGAGTGTTTCTACTTAAAAGTTTTTATGAGTTTGGTTAAAATAATGTGCCTGGTATCCCAAGATCCAAGAAAGCAAGATGTTTCAGGGTATGCGTCACACTTTTTACCTTTGCCTGTGACTTTCTGCACACTTCCAGACTGGCATCTGAAGCTCCTCCAAGGCTCTAAGGCAGGCTTCCTGGACTGGCCAGGAAGGACATCTACAATCGTGCTAAGAGGGCTTGGCAAGCTATCAACTCATGCCTCTGCTGTGCCTCTGACTTAGTGTTAAGGCTGCTGATGCAAACATTCAAAGCTGAGTGTAATGTCTACTTACACACTTGTGAATGTTTTATGTCCTTGATTTCATACCTTTGAGTCTGGAAGGCAGGGCCTGAACCAACTCACATTTTAATTCTTTTAGTATATCAGGCTTTGTATGCCAGGGGCCCAATAAGTATTTAACGGATATACACACTTCAAAAGTATTTTAGTATTTTTCTCTCTTTAAATTCCCAAAACATATTATCTTCTTCACAAAAATTCCTACACAGTGCCCATTATTTCTGAATGTCAGGTTGTCTGTTGTGTGCTTCTTAGAACAAGTCTGATAAGCAGGGAGGATCATGTTACATCTGCACGTGTGCTCACCTTGCCATCCACCTTGTCTGATGCTGCAGCCACTGCCACACCAGCAACCACACCCCCTCCAGCAGCAGGAGCATCTTGTGATTTTGTCTGAGAGCAAAGATAAGAGTGACAGGACTAAGTAAGTACCTTTGACTATGACCAAGATCGTGAGTTTCAGCTGTCACCAAGCCCTGCCAGTTTGCTCTCATGGAATCACTGTCGAGAGAGTTTACTAGCTTCTTCTGCATGTGGTGCGATGTTGGGCACAACACAGGGCTAGGCTCAAGAGCCCGCAGAGTCCATTCAGGTTACACAGATGTGAAAACACCATTACACTTGGCCAAAGAGTCAATGTGCTGTGGTAAACTGGATCCCACAAAGGAGTTGTGGTTGCTCCTGTCAACTGATGTCATCAGCTGATGACATGTGAACCCAGTTCTCCAGATAGTCTGACTTTTAAGAAAGGCTGTAAAGTGGGATTTTATGTGAAATGTCCTGACATCTTTTACCAGAATCTAATTAAAAATAATTTTGAGACCGTTAAAAATAATTTTCAACATTTTTAACCAAACAAGGAGTTGTATTTAACTCCCAAGTTATGTATTTGTGAACTCTGATATAAAATGCATTGTAAAATGGGCCTAGCTTCTATCTTCAAATGTTCTGAATGAGAAACATCTCAAAGATATTTCTTCTTCTAAGAGCAAAGTGCCTTTAACTGTATAATTACAGAATAGATTTCTGAGTTTAGGTTTCATGAGTTCTTCTTCCAAAATATCCTAAAAATGCATCAGGACTTCTGTGTAAAAGCAGAGGGAGTCAGTCATGCTGCAGTCCCGGGTGCTTTGAAGGTTGAGGCAGGAAAATTATTTGAGCCCATGGATTCAAGCATAGATGGGGTAACACACACACACACACACACACACACACACACACACACACACACACACACAGAGTGGAAGGGGAAAGGGAGAGGGTGAGAGACAGACAGACAGACAGAGAGATGGACACAGAAAGACACAGAGACACTCAAACACACAGAGAAACAGAAGAGACAGGGCAAATATGAACGAGAATGCAAGGCAATAGCAATAGTTCTCTGACCCAAGTTTAGAGAGGACTAGGAGGCAGCCTCATTTCAAACCTTTCTGTTTGGGAGACACAAGAGTCTGCTACATGAGCAGCATGAGAAGGCTGGACAGTACGTTTCCCTAAATCTATTTGCTGGCCTTACTCAGGCCCTCCATAGTTCCACATTCTTTCAATGCATCTTGCAAAACCAGTGCAGAAACAGTACCAAATCATTACAATACCAAACACATCCAGTGCAACCCCACAGATTCAACCTTGGGCCAATAGGAGCCATATCCTAATAGTACACTGATATTAGTTGCTTCATATTTATCAAGCTCACCTTTGGTTCTGCTGATTTTTCTGACACCGTCTTCTCATTTGATCTGGAAACTGCTTTTTCTTTATGAGCATGCTTACTTCCTGTATCTGATGCATGCTTGGGAAGGTTTGGGGGCTGAAAGCACACACATATATTATTAACATGATGGTGGTTTAAAACAGCTCAAATATTTTTCTTTATAGAATAAGGGCTGTATATAACAGTTGTGTTTTTTGCAGTTGTGAACTGCACAAATATCAATTAGTGTGAAATAAATGCCATTGTACTTTACATACAAAATCTGAAATATTGCAAATCCTCCCCAAACCATCATTAAGAATCACTGAACATGCCAGGCAATGATAACACACACCTTTAATCCCAGCACTTGAGAGGAAAGCAGACCTCTATGTGTAGCTAGAATTTTCCTGCCTTGCCCACAGTCAGGACAAATCTTTGTCACCCACCAGTCCCACAGCCTCTCAGACCCAACCGAGTAAACACAGAGACTTATATTGCTTACAAACTGTATGGTCGTGACAGGCTTCTTGCTAACTGTTCTTATAGCTTAAATTAATCCATTTTCATAAATCTATACCTTGCAACGTGGCTCGTGGCTTACTGGCGTCTTCACATGCTTCTTGTCATGGCAGAGGCTGGCAGTGACTCCTTCTGCCTTCCTGTTCTTTCTTTTCTCCTCTCTGTTAGTCCTGCCTATACTTCCTGCCTAGCCACTGGCCAATCAGTGTTTTATTTATTGACCAATCAGAGCAATTTGACATACAGACCATCCCACAGCATCTATGAGTTCAAGGCCAGCCTGGTTTATAGAGCTAGTTGCAGTAGAGTCAAGGCTACACAGAGAAAAAACATTACCTGGGGGTGGGGGGAATCAATGAACACTGCTATTACCACACGATGGCGCTGGGTCAGCTGAATAAACAAGTTAGTCTCACAACAGAAACTGCTACACAGGGTCAAGTCCTAGTAAAAAACGCTTACCTCTGAGCCTTCCTTTGCCTTTCTTTCTTGGGACTTTTTCTCATGAACCACAGATGGCTGTTAATTTCAAAGAAGTAAAAACTGAATTAATGTATTGGAATCTATTATTTTTATAATTATATTGGTCCACGAATACAATTCAAACTAAACCACTCTGTCCTCAGGAGAAGCTCCAGGCATACACAGTATCACCAGTGACCTGCCAACAGTCTCCATTGATGGTAATTATCAGAAAAAGGAAAACTGAGTCTTTCCTATAGAAAGATGTCACCAAAGACACACATTTCTCTAAACTATGGGCTGCTTTGCATATTCCTTAAAACAGATCAGTAGTTGTCAGACTATCTACAAAGGCATCAAAAGATTAAGGTGAGCATTAAGTTTGCTGAGCAGTGATGTGCTCTCTGCCCCCTAAGGAATTCATTTTGAAAATTCTCTGTCCACAGGAGATGAAATATGATCACATCCCCAAAAGTCCAATTCTCTAGACATTTGGTAGATAAACCACAAGCACTGAACTATGGAACAGAAGTCACCTAGTTGCTAAATTCTTCCCTCTAGAATCTACTATGCAAAGGCTGAAGGCAGGGCCCACTGACAGACAGTCCCTTTACAGAATCAGATAAGCCTTACCTTTCACCCCATGGCCCTATCTATGTGCCTCTGCTTCCATGTTCCACTCAGGTCTCTGCCCTACAGAAAACCCTGTGGTCTTATCTAAGTATTTGCTTACACAGTTGAAAGAGTGAAGTGCAGTACTGCACTGAAGACAAAGATGTGCTGCTGCTGGCACTCTGGAATCACCTTTCTATGGAGGCAGAATGACTTTCAGAATGGACAGCCAGGGAGGCAAGAATAGCTGTTCCCAGGGGAAAGGGCCTGAGTGACTCATAGCATCTTCACCATCCCAGAGAAGACTGTCAAGATTAATTCATTCTCTGTCATCCAAAGATCTCGGGCAGGTTCAGCACACTGCTCCTAGTGTTTCAAGGTACCTCTAACTTGCACTGTCCTTTGTCCTTTTAAAATATTAGTGTGTGCGTGCATGTGAGTGTACATGTGTATACATGCATATGTGCCTAGGTATGTTGTGTGTGTGTATGTGTGTATGAGTGTGTGAGTGCATATGTGTAAGCATGTGTATATGTGTATAGGTGTATGAATATGCATGTATATTTGTGTAAGTACATTTCCTGTGTGCACATGTATGCTTGTACACACATGTGTCATGGTAGAGTGGTAGAAGTTAAAAGGCAACTTTCAGGAATTGGTTTTCTCCTTCTGCTGTGGGTTCTGGGGGTTGAACTCAGGTGCTCAGGCTTACATAGCCAGCACCTTTATCTCCAAGGCCATCTCCTCTGCTTGACCTTTCCTCCTTTCTTTCTTTAAAAATATTCATTAAAATCTAGATTTGAATAAAATAACTTGTGAAATATTTTGTTTATAAAATATTATATATCTTTTTAACAATGTATGCATTTAATGTTGTAAATATTTTATATGCATTCTAAAAATTTATATTCAACAGAATAGTCAAAGTTATTTAAATTAGCTGACAAATCCCTTTACACATATAGGAAACTACTAATTAATTGTTACTAAAAAGTGTCAGAATAATTCACTCAAATTAATTCACTTAAATTATTTACCTTACTTGATTGCGACTTCTCAGACTCTGTTTTCACAGCCTAAATTTAAAAAAATAAAAAAATAAAAGTTAAAAATAACAATGGAGATACTTTACTAAAATTGTAATAAGTTTTCTTCAACTAAGTAATTTTGCTATTACTATCAATATAAAATTTATGACTTAAGTTGACCACTCAGTTCAGCTATTACTAGTCATAAGGCAAATAACACTTTATTTCTTATTGTGTGTATGAAGGATATACAAAGAGTTTTACTAATAACATTGTAGTAAACACGGAAGCAACATAAAACGTAAGTCTTCCTCCCTCAAATCCAAGGGTTGTCCTTCCAAGTTACTAATACCAAGTTAATAATTTTTTTTTTTTTATCGTTAAAATGCTTACCATAGATTGAGTTCAAAGTATTAAAGAGTAGGATGGTGGCAGCTTCGAGGCACAGAGAGCAGAGCAGTTATTTTTAATACCAGCATGTGCTTAATGGTTAAGCCTAGAGGAAGCCTGTGATGGAGTCATGCTGTTACAGATGACTGTGGACTGGAATTACAGTGTGTGCTGAGAGGATGAAGTGACTAGTAAACAGAACTGCCAGACACAAGTGAACCACATCACCTGTTTTCTGTGCCTTTTCTTGTCAGGCAGATGAGGTCCTTCCATTTGTTTGCAGACTGGAATGGCCTAACAGAAGAGCATATCCCCAAAAATGATTTCATGTTCATTCAAGAGCCTTTCTTCTAGCCTGACACATCTCCTCCACAAACACATATCTCACTCTTATGGGATTTAGGCACATAAACACCTGGTACCAAGCAAGTCTTTTAGGTTGTATATGTTTTTTCATGAGGATTTCATCTACAAAATTAATTTTTAAGGTTACATCCTTGTGTAAAAACTATTATACTTCTATCTGTATTTCCCATGTTTGACTATGACCAAAAAAAAAAAAAAGCCACAAGTGTCATTATCAGCTTTTTGAAATTCCATCCATAGTTTTAAAAACAAATTGGTAAATTATGTGTTATATTCCTGAGTGTAGAATTGTATTCTGAAGTTCGAAGCATGCTTCTAAAGGGCTTCTTGGTGCAATATTTTACAGACTTGGTGACCTGTCCGAATAAACAAAGAGAATAAACCTCCATAAATGCATACAACCAACACAGATGGAGGCAAGGTAGAAATCAGAACTTGATTCCTTTTTATAGACATTCCAAGGCAGTGACCACAAATCAGTCCCAATGTCTCCCATAGCCTTTTCCCTTTTGGCTGCTTGAAGATGTCCACAAAACTCCAACTTAAATTGTATTATTTGAAGAAGCTAAGTAAAATACTGTTTTAATTTATCATGTCTGATGCTTTGTTGGTGAAGGTACAGTCATCTTCATGAAATGCCTCCTAGTTATACAAGTATTCCTATTGTTTGGGGGGGGGGGAATCAAAGTTTATTATTAAATGTTTCTAAAGAAATTTGGGGTTCTTTCACACTGTGTCTTTGCTGATGAATTTTTGTTTACATTCCTCTGTGAATCTTAGTTTGCACAAATGTAATAAAGGCTAGCATTATCATAATTAAAATTTATTAAAAGCTTCAAATTCACAATTTGGTAATCAAGATATTGCTTGGGAAACCTTTAAACTACAATTAACACTGTGTATTCAGACTTAAGAAACTTCTAATATAATGTACATTTAAATCAATAATCACAACAATGATTTTTGGTAGTAATGGTGCCAAAGTTAATCCTAATGGGACAAGTAATACATTAGGGCCTACCCATCAGATCACAGTTACTAGGAATTTTCCTAAGTTCAACTAACCACTCAATTGTTAATGGGCCATGACTCACAGAGACAATATTAATATCATACCTCTTTTCAGTAAATAATTCAAGATCTAAAATATCAAATAAGTGCCCAAAAAGAGTGAGTGATGGAGCTGGAGTTGTGTATTTAGTCACAGGGCTTCATGGTCTCTCCACTGGCCAGCAGTTCATTCACAGTGGGCATTGGCTTGGGGACAGGCACTGTTCACCATTTGTTTCCTTATGCAGTCCTCTGAAATGGGTGCTATTATCCTTTTTCTTCACATTGTACAGATAAGGGAACTGAAGCAAAGAGGGACTGTGCAGTACCACACTGGTAAAGAAACAACATTCTCGGGCCAGGCGGTGGTGGCGCACGCCTTTAATCCCAGCACTCGGGAGGCAGAGGCAGGCGGATCTCTGTGAGTTCGAGGCCAGCCTGGGCTACCAAGTGAGTCC